TTTAATATTTATTTTAATTAATATTTTATATATTTTTAAGATAATAAAAAAATAAAATAAAAAAATTAAAATTAAAATGCTAAAAGGTATTACCAATCAAAATATAATTATAAATCAAAAACGATAGACGCTAACGGAAATTTTCTCCCAAAAATATTTCCCAAAACAAACCTTGAGGAATTAGAACTCACTTTGGACAACAACTAAGCAATAAGGAGCAGTTTCCAACCTCCAACCATTCCCATAAAGTCCAACAGGACACCACTCAAATCCTCTCTTAGACAGGGACTTTAATTACTATTGTTTCATTTGTGGGACATACCCAAAATTCTATTCTTCATCCCTAATGTATGCATTGAATCATTTCTTTCTGTTCAAATTTCTCAATTTGCCTAACTTTTTCATCAAAACTTTAAAACGAAATGACACCATTGAGACTCTGTTTAGGTATATGGCATGTGCTAGAGTTATAAAAGGTTTTATGTTTGAATATTTATACATTAAGTGAGAAAATCTCATATCAAATATTTAATAAAAAAAATTATAACCTAAATATAAAAAAAGTTATTTTATATATTATTAATTGGTTTTAGATTATATGTAAGTTTTATGTTGAAACTCATAAGTCAATTTTTACATGATACCATAAGTTTTATCTTTGAAAAGTCCATTGTTAATTTATCTAAGAGAATTTTGTTTAGTAAAAAAGTTTTATATCGAAAATATAATAAAAAAACATGATTTAAATGCAAACAAAACGACTCCACTTATTATCAATTCATTTTAAATTAAATACAAATTTTGTATCAAAACTCACATGATAGTTTTCACATTATATACTTAATATGAAAATGTATAACAGTGACGAGACTGATAAATTGGTCTGGGATGGACATTGAGCACGAAATCTTGTCAGAATTTACTTGCCTAAAGTTTTGTCAAAGACATGAATTCAACATATGTCCCAAAGCCCCATAAAATTATGTCTTCTTCCTTTTACAATATATACAAAAGGGAACTGGGGATGAGATGATATGTAACGTATCTTAGCTGTCCTTTGGAAAATGCTCCATCTTTTAGGAGAAACTAGAAAAAGGCCAAATAAATGATGACAAATGATCTCCAATCGAGAAGATGGGGGGAGGTGGGAAGGATTATGTTGTAGTTTGTGACTTTGTGAATGACACCAATGTTTCACATGGAAGGCTTTGGATTGTGCAACTAACCATCCCCACGAGCACGAAACCTCATAGTTTCTATGCAATTGATTCGTTCCAAATAATGTGGTTTTCATAAACCTTATGTAATGTAAGTGTTAACTTTGTATTTCGTAATGATGAACCTTATCCTAAGGATGATCGTGGCTCGAGGGATCGAGTAAACCCAGTTGTTTCACTTGTTGGACAGAGAGTGGTGTGGTTCATCTATCTTCCTGTGGAAATAGTGATCTTGGGTTTGGTCCTTGACATGGCAGATGTGACTTGATACCATCAGATAATTAGTCACTTGTTTAAGTGGAATTAAGTTATAATTGTCCTTTTCCTCTTAATTAAGATTAATTAGACTTTTGAACTATTTCTAGTTTGGCCTCTTTCGTTATCATATGTTTTTCCTATCTTTCCACTTGATTAGTTTTCACTTTTCACCATCCTGTTCCTATATTTCATAGATTTAGTTTTGTCCATCTGTTAGTAAGGAAAGCTTTTTCCGATTAAACTTTTCCTTGATCAAAGATACTTTAAATATTTCAATCACGTAATATTTTATATGTGATAAGGACATGGTATAAAAAAGGGGCCAGGGTCAAAGTCGAAGTGGCCAAACAGAAGTTGCATGAGGGGAATATCAAAATACCAGAAAAAAAAAAGTTCCAACTAATTCCAAAAGGAATAATGCATTAATCCCCAAATTGGAGAGATTGTTCAAGCATCTGTTTTCACTCTTTCGTCCAATAAAAATTCGCATTCTCTCCTCAAATTAAGCAGAATCAACTGTTCAAATTGTCCATTTCCTATTTTCAAAAAAAATAAAAAAACTGTTCAAATTAATTGAAATGCATGATTCAGACAGAGATTACGTGTAAGCAAAGCTTACTTTACTAATTTATTGTATGTTTGTCGTAACTTCATTTTAATAGTTTCGATTTGTCCTGGACACTTTTTTAGAGTATTATTTAGCGCAGACATTCTTGAATAAAATCAATCTAACCTGTATGTACATGTTGATTCTGATTGTTTAGATATGACAGGACTATTTATCTGAAAATTCGACTTATATGATGACTCTTTACCTTAAAATCAATTGACATTTGTGTATGGTAATTCATATTATATATAGGTAATATCTATTTCTTTTAATTTTTTAATATGAGAATTTTTTCTCCATTGACACAACTTTCCCCTTAATCAATTTGATATTAATTTTTTATTATTCTAACAGTCATATCTAGGATTATGGATTAAGGAAGATGGTAGGTTCATGAGTTATGAACATCAACAACATTCACAAACCTAAAATATCAGCCTTTCGTCCCCTACCTCTCCGTGATTGAAGAACGCCATAAGTGCGTTTGGGATTGTGATTGTGAGTTTTTTCGTGTAACCACACAATATTTTTAGATATATATGTATTTGGTGATTTTTTTCAAACTACTTTTTTTTAAAATCATATAAAGCTACAATAGATTTACAGTAATTTTA